TTTTATATTAAATTAAAGTTGTCTCTTGGGATTCCAAAATGGCTTTTGGAATCCCAAGATTTGTTTTGTTTTCCCATGCCATGGCTCCTTGGCTTCAACGGGTGGCTGATTTCCGTGCATTCTCTCCTTGATTCCCACGATGGCTGTTGGTTTTCTGAGCTAGGGGCTTTTCCCGTGGCTTTGACGCCTTGGTTCCGTGCGGCCTCCTTGGCTCCCGTGGATGCTCCTTCGATTCTTGGGCTTGGGCTGTTTTTCCATGCTAAGTGATGTTTAGATTCTTGTGATAATTTAATGTATGTGTCCTTTTGTATTCCCCTTTCATACCTATAAATATGAGGGGTTGTTTATGTTTGAATGAAGTGAAGAATATGTGATTTTTGGAAGCTATAACCTGTGGGTTTGCTTGGAAATCCTGCGGGCTCTTTCCACTCTTCTTTCTCATCCCCTCTGGAAATCCTGCGGGCTCTTTCCACCCTTCTTTCTCATCCCCTCCGGAAATTCTGCGGGCTCTTTCCAACCTTTCTTCTCGAACTTCTAACCTCTTTCGTCTCCGCAAGTGCCACTCCACCTGTATCCCTCTTCTCAAGTGAAGCAATTTTAGGGTGTCTTGTTTGAGTTGTTTGAGTCAAAGTTTGTAAGTCTTTATTTAATAATATTAAAGTTTGTTTTGTCTAATTTGTCACCTTTTAGTGTCTTTTCTATTACCCAGTAGAGTCTTATTTTTGTTAAGCAAAAAATATAGGCTCCACTATATTTTTTGCTTACATTAGACTTCAAGCTACCATCCAAGAATTTATGGGTATCATAATACAAGAAAGAGCAATGTTATCATGCAATGACATAGAAAAATAACTGGAACAATTTAGATTATGTTACGTATATTGCACTAATCTTCATGGTGTGATCCCTTGCTTTCAAAAATGAAGGTCATATTTTAAGTTTTGAGAATCAAAATGGAATTACCAGTTCAACAATAATTTCTATCATCTAGATAACAAAAAAATTATATTGAACGTACAAAAGCATCTGAATACCTCATAAACTCCCGGATTCATTAGCAAAAGACCCCTACTTCCAGAAATTAACTGCCAAACAAGTCCCCTCAAGCAATCAGGAATGCCCTTCCTTATACGCCTTCTAACTACATGAGGTTTCCTTCTGACATAATGCTTCCAATCACTTCCACCAACACCTATCATTTTCCTCCATTTTCGAATCCTCCTTTCCTCCCTGAAATGAAATTTTGCCATACTATTATATTGTTATATATTACTAAGATTAAGATATAATGTTCAAGAGGAGCACTGCATGAAAATAACTATTTTGGTTGTTTGTTAAATACAAATAATCACTAGCTAAAAAGTGCTCGAAAATGAGATTGTCTAAAGAAGCTCTCAACCTTCAAAAGATACAAGGTAAATGGCAGAATTGTAGATTCAATAGAATTTGTATATACATAAGAAAAAAATAAAAGAATAATAAAGTGAATCCTCAAGTTATAGACATTGGATTCTCCAATCATATAAATTAAGTAGTATGACAAAATAGAGGCTGCTTAAATTTTTTCTTTGTTTTGCCATCATTAGGTTCTTACATAACTATGAGTAAGCTATTTATAGAAAAAAGCTAACAACTAAAATTCTAAATTATCCTCAAGTATTACATAATAATCCTCATGAAAATAATAAATGCCATGAATATACAAATATCTGACAGATAAAGTCTGAAATATGTATCCTAATACCTGACATTTTCCTCCAATTTCGAATACTACTTTCATCATTGAAAGGTATATTGAAGCCATATATTGTTATATATTGCTCGTGAGGAGACTAACGTGAAAATATATAGGAGAAAATTTGTTTCATGTTGCCATTGATTCCTCAGAGTACTGAAGGGTTTTAACCAGGGTAATAAAAATATTAACTTATTTGTTAAGAATATTGATAATGATATAATAGTTGTTCAAATACATGATGACGACGCCTTGAAAGAAAATATTAACTTATTTGGCAAGAAAAATGTTAAATGTTTTTAAATCCTATGAAACTATTTGACCATATAACACAAAATTTAAGTTGATTAATCACTAAATACACAAATCTAATTTAGTAAATTATGATTCATAATAATGTCTTTTCATGCTTCAAGTCTTCCTAAATCTTGTGAATTCACCAAACTCCCAAATTTAGTAAATTTGGGATTGATTTATTTGATTAATTATTATTATTATGATAAATTTATTTGTATCTAATTACTATGATTGAATATTATTAATTTTATTTTATTCTTATCAATCATAACTAGATTAATAAAACTCTGCTTATTATAAATTAATATAATAATGAACTATTAGTTAATAAAATATTAAACTAAGGAAATAAAAAAAATTATTTAACCTCAACCCTCAAATTGAAGACGAAAAAATCAACTATTAAAAATAACATCAACAATAGTAAATCCAAATTTACATCCTTGAATTAAATCCTCCTTTCAATAGCCCCATCCGTGTAGCTTCTACTCCATCTTACCATCGCAAGCCCTCTCGCTCATTGCAAATAAAAGAAAGAGCTTTCGGAGAGAAAATGAAGTTGAGTGATAATATTGTTCGCTACCATTGCCTATCTATTTGTATAATTTCTCCTCTTTGGTCAATCTATGCTGTTCCTAGAGACTTAGGGCCTTAGGCATGTCTAGGGTTTGCTTTCCCTCATCACAATTTCTTCTTCGACCTCGTGTGCTTTACGAGAAGTAGAATTTTGAAATAGTCGCTAAAGAAACTTCATCACCTTTTTCGAAGATGTTTCTATCGAATCAGAAGTCACAACGAGAGCTCGCCATGTAGGTAATGATCTTTCTTCCCTTTTGCGCACTTCTTTGACTAAATCCCATAAATCTACAAAATTATTAGATGTATTAAATCCTGGATTTAAGGCGAAATAGAGACCAAGAATTAAGTTTTTGTAGAATTTAAGTTGTCATTTCTATTGTTTCATAGGATATAGGCAAAAGCTAGCATCCAAATAGCCCCTTATTCTCCCTCACTCATATCTCTCGCACAATAGATGGGACAATCGACTCCAACCTCTCCACATTGAACATCAAAGTCAATCGGCTCATCTCGCCCCTCTAACAAGTTCATCTCTCAACTCCAACATCATCTTTCAAAATTGCCAACCTCACACCACTCTAGTGATTTAGCTGCAATTACTTGAGCTGCTTGTCGTCCAACACCAAACTTCCTCTCGCCTCAATATCTCAAGCACCTCACACCATCAACATAAAACTTCTCATTAACACCACCTTTCATCTGAGCCTCAATCTCCCTCCCTCTTCCTCACTTTCTCACTCCCTCTCCCTCTCCCACTCACAATATTAATCTATTATATATATATATATATATATATATACTAACAATAGAATGTAAAATAGAGCACAATAAAGAAAGAAAAAAGAAAGAAAGAAAGCAAAACTAAAGAGCAAAAAAGAGAGAAAAAGAAAAAAAAACTAAAAAAAATGTTGACAAGAAGTAAAAAAAGAAATAGAGAAAAAAAGAAACAAATAGAAAAAAGGGAAAAAAAAAAGGGAAAAAAAAAAGGGAAAAAAAAGGGAAAAAGAAAAAAAAAAGACAGAAGAGAAAATCAATAATAATAATAATAATAATAATGATAATAATAATAATAAAAGAGAATAAAAAGAGGAGTTTTGGGTGTTCGATCTCTTAGCCCCAAATTCTTTGTTTCGACATCATCACCATAGTCTCGCAAACAAGTATAAAATGAAATCATTTAATACTCCCAAAATTCCAATTAAAGTATGCTTAGCACGACGAGCAGAAATTGTGTGTGTTTATCTTAGCATAGTGAGAGAAACTCGAAGGTTATATTTGATGATGCAACAGGTAAGCCTTGTCATGCTTTTTAAGCACGCATTTATTATGTTGCAGGTCTCTCATATAGGTACCTCATACACATCTTTTTTAGCGTGGTAAGTTTTGAAGATCCCAAACATGGTGTCTTAAAGAACTGAACATATGCATCTTTCTTCACATGATGGGCTAAGCTTAGCAATCCTCATAGATGCCCTTTACACGAGGAGAGTGTCAGGAGCCTGTTAAAATTTCTAGTGACAAAACTTGAAAAAGAACTTTATGGATATAAATGCCACAAAAAATGATGAAATAAAAAGAATACAATGTAAAATAAAAATTAAAAATATGAAACATGTCACATATTTGAACACAAACTGGACTCACATGGAACTCTACAGCTTGCAAAACGAGCATGAACAAGGCTCTCTCACTAACTTCCAAAACAATCAGAACTATGAATGATAACTATATATAAAAATAACCAAGTAAGAGTCTTTATTTAAAGGCGAGTAAATGCCATTGTGGGGGTCTATTTGAACACTTGTTTGAACTAAATGCAAGCAACAAAATGCATTATTTTGAATGCATCAAAAGAATCTAAATTGCAACAATTGCAATTGAATATGCAACATAGGCATTCAAGCAGATAGAATGTGATTTCATTAATGCTACAGATCAAAATTTACACCTGTTTTCCACGATAAAATATTCATGCAAACAATCACTTCGAACAATTTTAGGTCCCCTACAAAAATCACAAGGCAATTTTCAATTAAAAAATAATACCTTAAAAATCATTCAAGTGGATCAAAATGCCTGCATGTGCTTAAAACAATAGTGCTAAACCTTTGAACTTAATGTAAGAAAATGTTCTGTAGACTAAAAAAAAGTTAAACTCAAATCTACCTCATCCCTAGAAGCTTGCAACCGCTCTTAAAATACGTGATTATTTGAAAAAAAAGTGCAATGTCTATTTCAAATTCAAATTTAAACTCATCGTTATGTTGTCTGCATTCTCAAGCGAGCTGCATTGTCTATAAGAAAGGGTCATAATTCCCACATTTCAAATCGAATCCTCCGCATCCTAGAGTCAATAAAACTTGAGTCACATTACTCACATCAAGACAACACGCTCAAAACAACAAGATATTTTGTTTACATTTCCATTAAGGCTTTTAATTCCTTTTTCAAAGGAATTATATTTCAAAGAAAAATCTCTCAGTCCATCACACAATAATAGCAGATCATAAATTCAACCTTTAGATAGAACCGATTCTTTACATATAAGCATAGAGTCAACAAGATTAGTAGAGCATAAATGTTTGAAAAAGCTCAAATGATGCAATTATGACTCCGATTCTCTACAAGTGGTCAGAGTCAACAAGATCCAAATAACAAAGTATAATAATACAACATACCCCCATGAGGGTTGTGGTTGTCGTAGATCATAACTAGAGATATTCATTTTAAAAAATCAAGCTCTCAATCTCAAATACACTTGATGAAAACAAGGTTTTAAAAGGCAAAATCGAGAATCGAGGCATTTTTTCTAAGTGAAACGAGGCGTAAGCCTCGAGGCGGAACGAGGCGTAAGTCTCAAAACGATTAAAATAAATTAATTTAAAATTATAAATAATGACAAAAAATAACAAAATATTATGTCAACTATGAATTTGAAGATTTGTTTCAAGATAATATTACTAGAATACAAGATTTAAAATAAACTCACTTAAAAATAAAACATCCCTTAGGATCAAGACCCAAAGCATGCTCATCATCACTTTGATTGTCTTCAAAAGAATCTTCATAATTAATGTCAAAATCATCCTCAAACTCTTCTTGATGTGAAACCAGGAATTGTTTCTTAGAAATTAATAGAAGTTCTTAGAGCAATGATAAATTGATTTTAATGCTCTTCTCAAATTTGACAAATCAATAAAGATTTTAGAAGTTAACAGTGCGGAGGTAAGTCGTTATAACTAAATTTTGCAAGTTCCTTAAAACAACAACTTAAATGAACGTAATGAAATGATTAGCCAACTAGAATCCGACGGTTAACAAAGTAATCGTCTCACCTTGAGGCACAAAATCACTCTTCTACTTCTAGGATTGTCGGAGGAAGAAGAACCAAACGAGAAACGAGATCACTCCAAGGCAGACGGCGCAGACGATCCGTAGTGATGGTGAGGGAAGCGGCGGCCGTGAAGGTGGGGAAGCGAGTGGATGTCTGTGGATGGTCCAGTCGTAGTCTGAAAATTGCCCGTCGATGACTTGCACAAGGGTGGGGAGGATTCGATCCAAGTAGTCGTCAATGGTGTCGTCATGGTCAAACCCCACATCAAAGAATGGGGATCGAAGTATGTGGATGTCTCTGTAGATGTTGAACACAAGTCCTCCTTCAAGTTCAGGATCCGCCATGCATGTTCATGGGAAGTCTTGGCATCGCAATAGTGAAAGGTGGAGGAATTGTCACCTGGGAGAGGTGCGGCCAAGAGGAAGGGAGGGAGAAGGAGCTCGGGTGGGAGGAAAGGAGGGAGGTGCAGGAAATCTGAGAGAAATTCAGATTTTTGGGCAATTAGAGGAAGAATTAATTTGAAAATTCAAATCAAGCCTAAGAGGGAGAGAGGGGCGGCCAAGGGGAGAGATTTGGGGCTGAATTAGTGGAGATTGGGAATTAATTTGGGAGAGAAAGGCATCCATGGAGAGGCCGGCCAAACTAGAGGAGAGAGGGGGTTTCGGTTTTGAGGAGGTGGGGCCCGCTTGATTATTCAATTGATTTGAATAAATCTGAAATAATTTCAGCTTTAAACATAAGGAAGATTTCCTAAATTACATGTAAGCATTAGGCAACTTTTGAATTTCAAAATTAGAATTGAAATCCCATTATGAAGATGGCCTAAAATTTAGGAATTATATTTGGAAGGTAATCAAAGCCTCTTGGGGATTTGAATTTCAAATTCAAACCAACGGGAGAGGGCCGGCAGGTAGACAGGGCAAGAGGGGAAGATGGGGAGAACGGGGGCCAGCAGGCTGGACGGGCTTGGGGTGGTCGGCCGACGGCTTGGGCGGCCCAGGTGGCCGGCAGCAAGGGGCTGAAGGGGAAGGGGAAAAGTAGGACTAGAAAATCAAGGAGAAAATTCAGAAGACTTGGATGAAACTTCAAACCTCATGCACCTCCTTCCCTAGAACTCACAAAGAGATCTACAAGCTCCACCTTTCAAGAACTGACAAAGATATCTTGAAGGATGACACAAACTCACTAAGAGATCAATAGAGAAAAATTTCATTCATTCAAAAACTAATCTCAAATACAATGACAAAGCCTATATATAGGTCATCCGAAAATAAAAGCCATAAAGACGACATTGCCCTTGGGCTACAATAGACACTAACTCCCTCATAGGGGTACAAATGAAAAAACATGAAATATAAATGACATGAATAAAATAAAAAATCAAAAATAAAGATTCTGAATCATGGTCGTCGCTCGACGACCCCTCCGATGGTAAGTGTACCGAAATCTCCTATGGATGTCCTCATCATTCTCCCCAGGTAGGAGGAAGCTCTACCCTGTCGAGCAAGGGTCCTGAGAACTCTCGTACAGCTCCAGAAGGTCAGGATCCAGCCTCTGTATCTCATCACGCTCCAGCCATGTATTCTCCGTCTCCGGCTTACCTTTCCAACGAACTAAGTATCTTCGGCGCCCGCCATCCCTGGTGGAAATGATCTCATCACTGAGTATGATTTTTATCTTCTCCGTATTAGGTAATGTGGGAATTTTGGGGAGTGGAAGTAGGCTTGGGATCTCATTTGGTATGGTCTCACAAGGCTCAATATTACGTGGATTTTTAGGGTTAAAATCAGGACCATCAAAGGCTACTAGATCCTCAATGTTAAACGTGGGATTCATGTTGAAACCTTCTGGAAGGTCTAATACATAAGCATTACTGTTTATTTTGGAAGTTATTTTGAAGGGCCCGCGCTTTTAGCATGTAATTTCTTAATGGCCCCTGATGGAAACCGTTCCGGACGAATCTGAACCATGACATAGTCTCCAACTTTGAACTCCTTGAATCGTCGCTTAAGATCAGCATTAAGTTTATATTTATCATTACTATGTGCAATTCTTTTATTAATCTCTTGATGCAATTCCTGGAGATGAGATGCAAATGCGGATGCAGACTCTAACACTCTAATCTTAGGGCTCATGGGGATTAAATCTATCGGCTGCCTAGGTTGGTATCCGTAAACAATCACAGCTGGACTCATACCTGTGGTCCGATTAACGGAATTATTATAAGCAAATTCGGCAATTAACAGTTTAGAATCCCAATCTCTAATGTGTTCGCCTACCAAAGTTCTAAGAAGGTTTCCAAGGCTCCTATTGACAATTTCCGTTTGACCATCCGTTTGTGGGTGGAAGGCGGTGGAGAACTGCAGTTTAGTACCCATCTTAAGCCATAAAGTTTTATAAAAATAACTCGTAAATTTCACATCTCGATCCGACACAATTGTTCTAGGGAGTCCATTAAGCATAAACATAAATTATCTAGCACATGAAGTTTCAACTATTCAATACAAGGAATGATATAATTATCTTCTTCATTGATTTGTCTTTGAACTTCTATATCATCTTCAATAAATATCATAGCTTCTAATTCAGGCCCATCAAGTGAAAGATTAGTAATTTTTAATATTTTCATATCATAAGAGACTCAAATCCATATCGGAAATGAGAGAATCTTGCTCGCAGCCACAGAAGTAAATACGATACGTCTTTTTTTTTTCTTTTTTTTTCAACGGACATGCGTGTCCTTTTGAAATTAAATAGTATTTTAATTGGATACAGCTTTGGCGTATCCGACACATATCGGTGGAGTATCGGAGGCGTATTCTTGTATCGGTGTATCGGATACAGCACGCCTTCATAAATAGGTGTATCGGTGCAACATAGATACCAGGAGATCGTGCTTTTTAGCATGCTTGTGCTGCTCTAAATCCAAACATTCCCTGCTTCAAATGAAAATCCTCAAGTTGATCATTTACTTTGAGATAATCTTCTTCAGAAATGAGTCTGTCCATACATGCATACAAACCATTTTTCACCTCTTTGTCAACATGAAAATCCTTATCATAATGAAATTGGGGGTTTAATAGTATGCAGCAACATGTAAGTGTTGGTGTAATTGTCGATCCCACTTTTCATCTATAATATCCCATATTTCTTTGTAGGCACTTTCTTGACCTTCCAATTCTTTTGCAATGTCTTCTTTAGCCCTATTCATTGCTTCATAAATAAATCTCATAGTCGGGGCCATCTCACCATCAACCATTCTAAACACATTTACTAATGGTCCTGTTGTCTTCAAAGCATAATTTGTACTGCGCCAAAATGAATTGTCTTTCATAACAATCTTTTTAACTTATTTTCCTTCTTATTTTTTGGCCCATGAACTTTTATCCCACTCTTCAGAAGCAAACATTGCTTCCAAAGGTTGTCTTACCTCCTTGAATCTCTGCAATGTTAAATATGCAGTAGCAAATTTTGTAATAGCAGGTCTAATAATTTCATTGTAAGTGAATTTTCTCATCAAGCTGAGTACCCAAGAATAATTGTATATAAGCTTACTAATGAATTTGTCCTTCAATATGACTAATTTATGTTGAGGCAACTGTCCCAATCTCTCAAGCATCAAGTCAATACAATGTGCAGCACAAGGAGTCCAGTAAAGGTGAGGCCTCTTC